TTTTTAAGGAAGTATTTTCTTCAGTAATCTTTTGGACTTCCTTTTCCATTTGGCCAATTTTTCCTTTTAGGGCATTCTTCTTCTCATTGGCTTTTTGGACCTCTTTTGCTATTTAGGTTAGGGAATTTTTTAAGGTGTTATTTTCTTCAGTATTTTTTTGAGTCTCCTTTAGCAAGCTGTTGACTTGGTTTTCATGATTTTCTTGCATCACTCTCATTTCTCTTCCCAGTTTTTCCTCTACTTCCCTTACTTGCTTGTCAAAATCCCTTTTGAGCTCTTCCAAGACCTGGGACTGATTCATATTCTTCTTGGAGGCTTTGGATGTAGGAGCTTTGACTTTGTTGTCTTCTTCTGGGTGTATATTTTGATATTCTTTTTCACCAAAGTAAGATAATATAGTCTGACTCTTTTTGTGCTTCTTGCTCATGATGCTGGACAATTACTTGAGTTTTAAACTCTTTGTTAAAGCACGAATATGCTTCCAATGTGGAGAATGTACTGTCCCAAGATTGGGGGTTTGTACAGCTGTTTTCAGTTCTTCCAAGGTGGCATGATAAGGGGCGAGGTGTTTACTCCTTTCCTGGACTGTGACCACAAGTACTCCTTTCTGTCCTGTAACTGTGAGGAGGGGTTTCTCTCCACAGCCACTACAAGCTCCACCACACCAGCACTCCTCCTCACCCCAGGAACCCCATCCAGAACTGTGACCCAGATCCACACACGGGCAAAGCAAGAGATTCTTGCCTTAGCACTGGCAAAGAGATCCCTGCAATCCGTCTCTGATCAGCCACTGGATTCCCCCTCAGGCTGTGGGCCAGAATCTTGGGAAGCAGCTGTCCCACCCAGAGGTACCCTCTTGGGAAATGTAGCTGAGACCCGCCTTCCTCTCTGAGCACCGCAGAAACAGACTTTTCCCACTCACCTTCTAAGTTGTATTTGGCATTGGTGGATTGAGGACTCTGGAAACCTCCACAGTTTCCTGAGATTCAGTCCTCTGAGGCCTGCTCCAGGTTTGTTGCTGCCTGCCTGCCCCATGCCATGCTGCACTGCGCTTCCAGCCTGGCAAGATATACCTTTCTGATCAACCATCCAGTTGTCCTGTGCTCGAAATTTCTTTCACTCTGTCTTTTTGTGGGTTCTGCTGCTTCAGAATTTGTTTAGAGCCATTTCTTATGAGTATTTGGAGAGGTTTGGGGGAGAGCTCAAGCAAGTCACTGCTTTCACTCCGACATCTTGGCTCCACCCCTTGATTGATTATTTTAAAAATGACTTTGTGTATTTCTTTGTCTTTTTACTGTCGATTTTTCCTTCTGTATGTCTGTCCCTACCCATTCATAGAGAGCAATACCTCATAAAAGAGAAATTTGTTAGGAAAATGAAAAAAGAAAAAAAAAGGAAGTTCATCAAAATCAATGAAAAAAAATCCGTTCAATTTCCTTCCTTTTGACCTCCAGTCTTTGCAACAACATGGGGAGATGCTTACTCATCTCTTTTATTGAGACAATCTTTGTTATAATTTTGAAAGATTATAGGGATAGAAGCAGCATTCGTTTTTGAATTAGCCCTCTGTTTCTATTCTTTGACCTTATGGCAAAAAAGGCAGAGGAGTGGCATCATTGAGTTGAAGAGATGAACTTTTAATTACTTTCTCTTAATTCCAAATTGATATTTAGGATGGTTGGAAGCATCCTAAGCTGCAGAAACTGCACCTGTCTGCCTGTCTTACCACAGCACTTCCATCATGGAATGTTACTATACTTTGTCATCTTTGTCAATTTTCTAGTTATGAGATTAAAGCTCAGAAATCTTTATATTTATATTTGTGTTCCAAGTAGTCATTGCATTTTTTATTTTTAACACGTGTTTTCAAAACTTTTGGTTACAAATTTTCTCCCTTCCTCCCTTCCCATCCCCCCTTTTGAAAAGGGAAGCATCTCGATACAGGTTATAGATGGGTACTCATGCAAAACACTCCCATAGTAGTCATGTTGTGAAAAACTAAATATATTTCCCTTCTATCCTATCCTATCCTACCCCCCATTTATTCTATTCTCTCTTTTGACCCTGTCCCTCCTCAGAAGTGTTTGCTTCTGATTATCCCCACCCCAATATGCCCTCCATTCTATCAACCCCCTGCTCTCTTGCCCTCTTCCCTCCTTATTTTATGTAGGGTAAGAGATATTTTCATACCCCATTGTGTATGTTCTTCTCTCCTTAAGCCAAATCTTATGAGAATAAGATTCACTCATTCCCTCTCACCTTCCCCTATTTCCCCTCCACTGCTAAAGCCTTTTCTTGTCTGTTTCCTGTGAGATAATTTATCCCATTCTACTTCTCCCTTTCTCCTTCTCCCAGTATAATACTCTCTCACCCTTTAATTTTATTCTCCAGATATGACCCCTTAATCTTCAACTCACCCTGTGCCCTCTCTCTCTCTCTCTCTCTCTCTCTCTCTCTCTCTCTGTATCTATCTATCTATCTATCCATACATATAATTTTTTCCATCCCACTACCCTAATACTAACAAAGGACTCATGAGTTATAAATATCATCTTTCCATGCAGGAATGTAAACAGTTCAGCCTTAATAAGTCTCTTATGATTTCTCTTTCTTGTTTACATCTTCTATGTTTCACTAGAGTCTTGTATTTGAAAGTCAAATTTTGTATTAAGCTCTGGTCTTTTACTCAGGAATGCTTGAAAGTCCCCTATTTCATTGAATGACCAATTTTTACCCTGAGGGATTTTATTCAGTTTTGCTGGGTAGGTGATTCTTGGCTGTAATCCTATCTCATTTGCCCTCCAGAATATCATACTCCATGCCCTCTGGTCCCTTGATGTCGAAGCTGCTAAATCTTGTGTTATCCTGATTGTGTTTCCACAGTACTTGAATTGTTTCTTTCTGGCTGCCTGCAATATTTTCTCCATGATTTGGGAATTCTGGAATTTGGCTACAGTATTCCTAAGAGTTTTCCATTGGGGAACTTTTTCAGGAGGTGATCAATGTATTCTTTCAATTTCTATTTTGCCCTCTGGTTCTAAAATATCAGGGCAGTTTTCTTTGATAGTTTCTTGAAAGGTGATATGTAGGCTCTTTTTTTTGATCATGGCTTTCAGATAGTCCAATACTTTTTAAGTTCTCTCTCCTGTATCTAATTTCCAGGTCAGTTGTTTTTCCAATGAGATATTTCACATTGTTTTCTAATTTTTCATTCTTTTGGATTAGTTTTACAATGCCTTGATTTCTCCTATAGTCACTAGCTTCCAATTGTTCCATTCTAATATTTAAGGAAGTATTTTCTTCAGTAAACTTTTGGACTTCCTTTTCCATTTGGCCAATTTTGCTTTTTAGGGCATTCTTCTCCTCACTGGCTTTTTGGACCTCTTTTGCCATTTGGGTTAGGTCATTTTTTAAGGTGTTATTTTCTTCAGTATTTTTTTGGGTCTCCTTTAGAATCACTCTCAGTTTTTCCTCTCCTTCTCTTGCTTGCTTCTCAAAATCCTTTTTTGAGCTCTTCCATGGCCTGGGACCAATTCATAGTTTCTTTTGAGGCTTTGGATGTAGGAGCTTTGGATTCGTTGTCTTCTTCTGGTTGTATGCTTTGATCTTCTTTGTCACCAAAGTAAGATAATATAGTCTGACTCTTTTTGCACTGCTTGCTCGTGATCCCAGACAATTACTTGAGTTATAAACTCTTTGTTAAGGTAGGGATCTGTTTCCAATGTGGAGAATGTACTGTCCCCAGCTTCAGGGATTTTGTGGAGCTGTTTTCAGAGATACTTCTAGGGACCTGGACATTTTCAGTTCTTCCAAGGTACTATGATCAAGGGCAAGTTGTTTACTCCTTTCCTGTCCCGTGCTCTGCTTTGTGAATGACCACAAGCACTCTTTTCTGTCTTGGAACTGTGAGGAGATTTTTCTGTTTACCCACCACTAGAAGCTCCACCAAGCCAGCGCTACTTCCCACCCCAGGACCACCACCCAGAACTGTGACCCAGATACAAGAATGGGCAAAGCAAGAGAATCCTCCACCAGCAGTGAGATCTCTGCAATCCCCCTCTGATTAGCCACTCAATTCTCCCCTCAGTTTGTGGGCCAGAAGCTCTAGAGGCAGCCACCACCCCAGGACCATGCTGTGGGACTGTGTCTGGGACCCCACTGTGCTTCTCTCTCTTACTACAGACACAGACTTTTCCCCATGACCTTCTATGTTGCCTTTTGCATTCATGGGTTGAGAAGCCTGAAAACCACCACAGCTGCCAGTGATTCAGTGCTCTGGGGCCTCCCCTAGGTTTGCTGAGGCCTGCCTTGCCTGAGCACCCACTTGACATTGTGCTCTCTCCCAGCTTGGCATAATATACCTTCTCGATCAACCATCCATGTTGTCTTGGTCTGGAAATTTCTTGCACTCTGTCCTTTTGTGTGTTCTGCTGCTTTAGAATTTGTTTGTAGCCATTTTTTATAGGTATTTGGAGGGTTTTGGGGGAGAGCTCAAGCAAGTCACTGCTTTTACTCTGCCATCTTGGCTCTGCCCTCCTGTCATTTGTTTTTATGGCAATTTACAGTTTGCCATTCTTCTTGTGAAAACAGTTTGGTCATATCCTTTAATCACTAATGAGTATGGAAATGCAAGTTGATTTTAGATAGTTGTATCAATTCTCATATATGTTGCATAGGAGACTCAGTTGTTATATTTGATATAAATTTCATCTCTTCTTATTTTATTTTGATTGAACTTTCCCCTCAAAATGTTGTAAATTTAATTCAAACATTACTGAAATTATTTATTAATTTATTTTATGAAAAGCTCTATCTTTTGTTTTGTTAAGAATTCTACCTTTGTCTGTAGAATGGTCCCTGCACCCTTTAACCTCTAATTTCTTGATTATGCGACATTTTTTCATGTTACATATACATTTTGAGTTAATTTTATGATACAGTTTAAGTCATTGATCTAATTCTAATTTATGTTAATTTCTTTCCATTTTCCTTAGCACTTCTCAGCTAGAGATTCTTTCCTGAAAGGAGCTCTTCAAACATAAGAGAGTAGCAAAAGACTTGGGAATCTGGGTGTCAATGGTGATCAGCATGAAAGGGCTGACTATTGGATAAAACAAGGAAAGCAGGACTGTGAAACGTAGCCCCCAGTGTCTGGTTTCTCTAGCAGAAGCTATATAAATGATGAAAGGGGAACTGGCTGAGTTAAAGCAGACAAAGGTGATGACCAGCATCAGGATGGCTTTGGTGGCTCTGGTCTCAGGGGAGGCCCTGGGGGAGAGGCAGGTGCTGTGAATGTGCTGGACTTGCTGGCTGTGTCTGTGCAGGACAAACACCATGTAGCCACTGGAGCAGATCATAAGACCCTCAAACACAGCATCAACAAATGACTCACAAATTAAAATTTTTATAATGCTTGTGGCTGGCAAATCAAAAGAAATCTGCCCAATCCTCCATGTTTCATTACTGCTGTTCCTTGAACTGCTATAAGTCATAGGCACAGCAGTATAAAGAAGACTGAAAGTCCAGCTCAGGAGACAGCAGGAAGGAATACACTGTTGGGCTCTTGTTTTAACCTGTGCCCACTTAAGGCTGGTGGGACTGATGGTGATGGCCTGGAAGACACTGAGGAGACAGGTGCTGCAAAGAGAAAGAACCCGGGTCACTCTTAGATAAGTTAAGATTTTACTCATCACGTCATCTGGGAAAGTCCTCCATCCCCAGTTGTTTATTATTGTGGTGATGCCCCTAAAAAGAATCATCAAGACATGGGCAAAGGCCAAATTGCTGATTATTAGGCTTATTAGCCTTTTCCTATGACCAGTGATGAACTTATGGCTGTGTAGATAAAGAAGGGACATGTTCCCCAGCATTCCAAAGAAAAGCACGGCCAAGAAGACAATCCCCAGGACTTCTTTATGAGAGATCATTCCTTGAGTATCTCAGAGAGCTTTGCTCTCAGATCCAGAATGACCTAGGAAGAAAGAGGGGAATGAGATTTTTCCAGAGGGAGTATTTCCCAATAAAATTTCACAATGTACTCATCTTCTATATGATGAGTGGTGAACCTTTCCAGATACGTAGTACCACTGCAATATTCATGAGACTTTTTTCTACTTATCAACTCAAAAATGTTTATTATTCATTTGCTATATATTCTAGTAATACACCAATTTCCAGCTGTGTCTAAGTCATGCCTTTTCCTCTTGGGCTGTGACTACCACTTCTTTTCTACCAGTACCTTCATGCTTCCCATGGTCCTCATTTTCATCTGAATTGGACAATAGAGTTTTTAATATTTTCATACAAGCCCTTGTACACGTACTTATACACATACACAGCAAGAGCATGGTGTAAAATATGAAAAGCTCAACAGGGAAATTGGTAGGTTTGGACCAAAGGAGAGGGAGGCAGAAATGGGAGGGCATGTTTATGAGTGAGAGTTCATTAAAAAAAATGAACTCCATCACTAGAAACAGGGGACTTTTAAAAAGAAAGTAAAGATTTTATGATTCTGTAGGCTATATAGAAGAGAAAGGTTGTGAAGAAGAGATAGATTGTGTCATTTATAGATCATTTGTTAGTCACAGTGTCCTTCTACCACCTTCTTCTTTGTGAGTGGAGAGGGGAAGGAGCAAAGAGAATAAGAAATACAAGAGGAAAAAATGAAAAGAAATACAAAATTAACAATCATTACTGTGGAAAATACATATGATGAACCCACCAAACAAATACAAGGGGATCATGAAATACATTAGAAAGGACACTCCCACAGTAAGTTATTTAAAAGAAACACCTTTAGTACATAAACATTCATATAGAATTAAAACATCGTTCTGAAAAAAATCTATGATGCTTCAATCAAACATAAAACAGGAATGACAATAAGTCATGATTTCAGAAGAGGCTATGCTATAGACATGATAAAGGGAGAAAAGCATGGACAAAATGCTTAAAGATACTAGAGAAAAATCAATTTCAAATATATTACACATTAATTATGCATATATATATATATACATTAATTGCATGTTCTTCTACACACATAAATATATGTTATACACACAAATCAGTATACGTAATATGCATTAGTTATATATGTGTATAAACATGTACATACGTATACGTACGAAGACATACCCATCAACAGCTAAAATACTTAAAGGATAAATTAATGAAATTGCAGGGAGAAATGCCTAGTAAAATTCAAATTGCAGGACCTTCTCATTTCTACGATATGTAAGGAATTGATTTAAATATATAAGAATAAGTTCCAATCTTCAGTGGATAAATTGTTGAAAGAGATGAACAGGTTTTTCTCAAAGGAAGAAACAAAAGGTATCAATGTATGAATAAAAATATCCACTTAAGCAGTGGACTACAAATTAAAGCAATCTGGATGCTGCTCATGCTGCTTGCAAAGATAATGAGAAATGTCAGAACAGCTGAGGGGAAAAGCATGTTAAAGCAGTATTGGTGGAGCTGTGAACTGGTTTAGCCATTTTGGAAATCCTTTTGGAACTATGCCCCCTGCATAGCTTAGTTGTCATGTCCTTTGGCCTAGAAATATACCTAATGTATGTTCCTAGGTAGCCAAATTAGAGGAAAAGGACCCACATATATAAAATACTTATAAAATTCCTTCATGTAGTGTGAAAGAACTAGGAACTAAGGGGTTACCTACAAACTGGGGAAGGAATAACCAAAATTATGGTGTATGAATATAATAGAATATCATCGTGCTATGAGAAATGATGAATAGGATGGCTTTAGAGAAACCTTGGAAGATTTATATGATACAGGGTGAGCAGAAGTAGGAAATAAATTGATACAATAATGACATTGTGGCAAAAAACTTTGAGAATTAAGAACTCTGATCATTGTAAGGACCTATTATCATTCCAGAGGATGGGTGGAATATAACAGAGGTGATTAAATCTCAATGAAAAGTTATATATACATTTTTGTTTATGGACAACATGGGAATTTATTTTACTTTATTGTCCTTTTTTGTTAAAAACGTTTTGTTGTATTTCTTTAATAGGGTGGAATGAATAGGAAAAAAAGAAATGTCTGTTAATTGAAAATCACATTAAAATAGTTGTGAATCTCAGTGTATTTTTTCAAAGTTAGAGAAATCTAGCAAAGATAACAACAAAGAAGTTAAGGACGTTAGTAGAACTGTAGGAAATTTAGACATGAGGGATCTCTGGTGATTATTGAATGAGAATATTAAATAGTACACATATTTGTAAGTTATTCACGACACTCTTACAAAAAGTGTATGTGTTCTTGGACACAGATGTTTCATAACAATAATAGCTAGCGCTTACAGAATAATTAATAATAACATATAATATGTAGCACAATAAGCATTGTAAAACATTTTACATAAGCCATCTTATTTAATCATCATTAAACTGCTGCGATGTATGTGCTATTGTTATCCCCATTGTACAGATGAGAAAATAGACAGACAGAGGTTAAAGTATTTGCACAGGGACACCAAGATAGGGGATGTGTGAGGCAGGATTTGAACTCAAAAAATCATCCTGACTACAAATCCAATGCTCTACCCAGCGTACCACCAAGTTGAGACATCAAATGTAGAAGCAAAGAACTAGAAAATCATCTTATTTGGATACAATCCCAATACAAATTTATTCAAGGAAGAAACCAAAGGATTAAAATTAAATTGAGATGAGATAATTTAATGCTAAAGAAATGGTAAATTAAAGAAGAAATTATAGAAGCAGAAAATGTTATCAAAGTAATTTATAACAATGAGGCATCTGAAAACATATGGGGTCCAACTAAGAGTTACAGCTAAGCAATCCTTGAGGAAATAATTTCTCTCTAAATGTTTTCATAAACAATAGGGAGAAAGAAGAAAAGAATGAATTGGGCATGCAACAACAACAAAAAAAAGAAAAATGTGAAATTAACTCGCCACCTAATACTGAAAGTTAAAGAAGAAATCACCAAATTCATAGCACAGTAATCACGTTGAATTGTTACATAAAAATTAGAATAAAAAAACTAATGAAGTAAGAGATTACATAGTTTGATTTATAGAAAGAAGCAAACAATTTTTCATGTTAAAACTGAAAAAGGGAAGTTTATTGCATTTAAAGATGAAACAAAGAAAGTTATCTGAAAGTATTTTGCCCAATTATATACCAACCAAACCATAATACAAATTAAATGAATGGTATACAAAAATATTAATATCAAATTTAATTGAAAAATATATTATGTAAATAACCCAATATTAGAAAAATGAATTTGACTAACTCAAAACTTAATTTCTGAGAGAAAATCTGCAGTATCAGATGGATTTACAAATGAATTCTGTCACCAATCCTTAAAAGAACTTATTCTCTCATTACATAAATTCTGTATAAAACTAGGAAAAAGACAGACCCTGACACAGTAAGAAACTTCGTAAGTACCTAAAATAGCAGGAGACAAAGCAGAAAAAGAAAATTATAGGTCAATATCTGTAATGACATAGATGTAAAAAGTATTAAAAGAAACATCAAATAGTCAACAGTTTTTTGAAAGGATTACCTCTCTACCAGAAATGCAAGACGAGTTCAATTTTAGGTGGGAGTTCTTTCAAATGAATGGAGAGAGTACCACAAGAATAACCATTACTACCATGACTATTAAAGAGACTTCTGGAAATCTTAGGACAACCAGTGAAGAAAAAGAAATGAATGGAATAAATATAGTCAAAGGGAATGAAAATTAGCCCTTTCTCAGATGATATGACTGTTTATATACTAAGAAGAGTAAAAGAAAAAAATGATGGAAACACAAATTTAGCAGGGATATTTCCAGGATATAAAATAAATCCACAGAAACCATCAGCATTTCTGTATATTATGAAGATTGGAAGGGAAATTCCATTCAAAACGCCTAAAGTATATATAAATACTTGGGCATCTAGCCACAAGAAAAAGATTGGAATTAAATGAATGCAACTATAAAATACTCTTTACAGAAATAAAGACAAACCTAAAAATTTTGGGAATTAGTAATCACTCACGATTAGGCTGAAATAATAAAAATATTACCTAAATTAATTTAATTATTTAATGACATACCAAACAAATTTCCAGAGCATTAATTTATTGAGCTAGTTAAAAATAAGAATATTCATCTGGGGGAAGAAAGGGCCAAGAATCTCAGAGAAATTAATGGAAAAACTGGGAAAGTTATGAACTTTGCAACATCAGACCTCAAAGTGTATCGTGAAGCAGGAATGTACATAACAATTTGTTACTGGTGAAAAAAAAAAGAGGGAAAAATCTGATGGCCTCCACTAGTTGTACAACAGAGGGAAGGCTACCAACCCTGTAGTCTAGGATTTGACAACCCCAAGCATCCCAGCTCCTGAGTAAAGGACTCAGTATTTGTTAAAAACTGTTGGCAAACCTGAAAGTAGTCTGGAAGATACTAGATATAGACTAGCATCTCACTGCCAGTGGGTCTACCTGCCTCAAATCTCTGCCCTCTCCAATCCATTCTCCATTTAGTCACTGAAGTGATTTTCCTAAAGCTCAGGGCTGATCAAGTCACCCCAGAAATTCTGTAAATGCCAGTGGCTCCCTATCACCTCCAGTATCATAAGGAAACTGATCTCTTTGGTATTCAAAGTCCTTCAAAACCTCTCCTACCTTTGTAGTCTTCTTATACCTTACTCCTCACCATGTACTCTTTGATCCAGGTACCCTGGCCTCCTGACTGTTCCAGGAACAAGGCACTCCATCTTAGGTCTCCTTGCCTTTTCTCTGGCGGTCCTCCATATTTGGACCTCTCCCTCCTCTGTTCTGACTACTGACTTTCTTGGCTTCCTTTAAGTCTCAACCAAAATTGCATCTTCCACAAGAAGCCTTTCCCAATGCTCCTTAATCCAGCGCTTTCTCTCTTTTCATTATGTAATATTTATCCTGCACA